TGTGTGTGCATGTTTGACTTTGTGTGTATGTGGAAATCCCTTAATAGAGGCGGAGCTTCGTTACAGCGCTGTTGCGAGATTGCGCTATGAAAACGTCTATAATCTATAAGCGTGCACCCTCCACAACCCTCAGAAGTCTTTGATTGTGTATCACTCTCTATGATTTATGATGCATAACACACACATCCCTGTACAGTAAGAATAACGCATCTTTTAAATACAGCTTAAAGTCTTTCTGTGATTTTTCACTCTTAAATGTAGAAATCAAGTATCTCCTCTGAAAATAACTCTGTGAGTCATGACTGTCTACAATGGGTGTAACACCCGAGTCCCACTGTCTGTGATGTTTTCAGAGTTTTCAGAGTCCTATCTTCACTTTGTTTACATCGCCAGGACGGCCGGCTGACTCCTCCCCTCGTGTATAAAAGTTGTTTAATTGAGGGACTAGAGAAAAGAAGAATAACATACTGTACTCACTGCTTAACTGTGTTTCTAGATCACGCTCATTTCAGGTAAATTTACATGCAGTGTGAAGATACCAGCAGAATAAAGATCGCTAGCATTAGCATGCTAACACAACAATGCAGCACAAGTTGTTTTGGTTTCATGCTGGAGCTCAAGGGCGACATCTGCTGGATCAAAACATCACATATGAAGTCTTAAAAGAAACAGAATGTGGCGATCACGCTACAAAGATGGGATGGAAAACAGGAAACATAGGCATGTGTGTGTGACAGAAAAAGAGACAGAGAGAGACTGTAAATGTGAGAATACTTGAAGGAGGCCACAGAGGGCGGAGCTTCAAAGTGGGAAAGAGAAAAGCGAGCAGAGCGTCAGATGAACGTCCAATGAGAGGCGTTCGCAACAATGATTCAGAAATAAGAAGAGAATTCTTGAAGCATTTTTTCTGTGTATTCATATTTCATATACATATTGACAGGTTTCTGATACAGCATGGTTTCTGATAGTGTAACTGTCTTCTGCTCAGCTTTTTTTTTTTTTGTTTTTTACAAGAATAACAATAAAAAATGATACGACAACATGTACGACTCCGTGTTTTTTAAATTTCATGGCAATGCTTCTGTTGAATGGATTTAGTTTTCGTCCAATCAAATCGCTCGCTGAAGGATGAAATCATTCAAAAAGTACTTGGTAAGGCTCGCTTTGGATTGGCCGGAACGGTCGACCAATCACAGCCGTTTCTATGACACCATCTCCAAAGTGTTTTCAGCTTCGACTTCTGTCAGCTAAACGTAGCTTCCTTTGCTCCTCAGCGTCACGTCCGTCATCTTCTACAGTTAAAGATGGCCGACACTCATAAGTCCGTAGTGTTTTTGTTCCTCCTCTCACAACACCGTCGTCCTCGCAACTTAACAAACATTTTTTGTACTTGAAAAATAAGATTGTGTCCGTCTGAATATCCGTGAATACTATCTGTACCGTAAAAACCCCAGCGATGAAAAATAAGAACACTTTTTAAAAGGACCAAAACATGGAATCAAAGACCCAGATATCTTCACACACTCACACACACACACACTCACACACTCACACACACTCGCACACACACACACTCACACACACACACACACACGGTCGCTTGCTCGCTAACCATTCGCACACGGGACTGTTTTGAAAGGCAACAAATGTCCGTTCTCCAAGGCAATAATGTCTTTGTGGCAAACTTCGACCCTGACATTCCAGACGACGTCGCTCTGGCTCCGCCCCCCCTCTCCAGGAATGAAAAAAAAAAAAAATCCGATATTGTGTTTAAAGTCAGATACATCCATTTCATTTTCATGAGTAAATAACGACGAGGATACAAAATAATAATAATAATGAGGACTAAAATAATAATACTTGTGGTCATCCTAATATAAGATAAAATACAAAAATCTCTTCTTCCAAACTTGCTCGTGAAACTCCTCTTCAGAACGATGAAAAGACAAAGAAAATATAAAAATAATGATGATATGATGCGTTTAACACTTTGAGGGAAACCAACGTGAGCCCAGAGAGGGAGTTTGTTTCTTTTGTTCTTTACAGGAAAGTTCCTATAGCTCCTCTGTCAGTCCTGACGTCTCTTTTAATTTTTTTATTTTTTTATTTTTAAAGTGTAGATCCGTTCCTTTGAGTTGCACGTCCATGTCTTTTTTTCTTTATCTGCTTGTAAGTACAGAGCAAATACTTCTTTTAGAAAAAAAAAAAAAGCTTTCTTTTCTCTGTGTTCTTCAAAGTAAATAATGCTGATTCCGTTTGAGAAATTGTACATTCCTTTTTGTTTGTTCTCCGTCACAGATGTCAGTCATGTCCTTTCACATTTGGGGCTGCTTCACAAACACATCTCTTTTTAATGTCCAAACCAACCTGGAAGAGAACACAAACAAGGAGGTTAACAGAGACTGGACTATTAAAAAGAACAATTTCACTACACTCGAGACACTCGAGAAATTATGAACATTTAAAGGAGCAGTATGTAACTCTGACCCCTAGTGTTTAAAATGTATACTGCAGTCTAGATTCTAAACATCATAGAGAGCTGCCCCCCCCCCCCCCCTCTCTCTAGAGTGGATTCTATCTGAACCACTTCTCTTGACCGCTTCCATCACTGCAACACCTGTTGACCTGATAACTGCTCTCATATCTGGCAAACCGAGGGGCGTCCAAAACGGCCGTGTGGGGGAGTTCCTTAACCTTCTCTGGTCCAAACAATGCTTTGGCAAGGTACTGTGCATCACCTAGTGTGAGTGTGCCTAAAGAGTTACAGTAATCTAGTCTGGATGATATCAAGGCATGGATGAATATTTCAGGGGTTTTTGTGTTGTTTGAATGGCCAGATTTTAGAAATGATCCCGAGTTAAAAGAAGCTGGATTTTTATATCGGATTAGGGATAACATGCACAAGCGAGGACATGGCATTCATCAATTTAAGAACATGGGTGTAAACATGTTAAAAACAGCTTCAAGACTTCAAGTCTTAAGATCTTCTTTAAAGAAAACACTTAAAAAGATACTGACACACTGAAAACATCTGGAAAGAAAAATATCAGAGCATAGACACAAACAACCGAGACCAAACTCACAGCTCCACGACTCCTGCATCTCTTCTTCCTCTGTGTTTCTCTCAGCCTCTCTCTGACTGCTCCAGGTAAACGGACTTGGGTGGCCGGATGCTCTGGGTAAACTTAGAGGAGAAAAGAAGAGGAGAGTTGAGAGAGGGAAAGAGAGAAAGAAAGAAAATTGCCTGAGTTATAGGACAACATTTAAAGACATGGAGTGTAACGGCTCCGTCTGTGATTGGAGTCTGGGGAGTGTCAGACGCAAATAATGTTCAAAACCAACCTCTCCTTTACCTTGTGCTTCGGACACCGCAGTGAGAAGTTATCTTCATTCAGAGAGCAATCTGGATGTGAGACAGAAAGTATCAGCACTATACAGGTATTACCACGTAGTATCAAATAATTATTCTGTTCATAACGGGCTAATCTGCTCCAATGAACAGACAAGAAGAAACCCCATATCTTACAGTGTCCTTTTATTACAACTCATCTTCTCACCTGCTTCGATAGCGCACAGGTAATGGTAGCGAAGTGTGCAGCCTTTACTGTAGCAGCCCAGGGTCGACCCCACCATGTCACAGTAGGAGCAGCACTGAGCAGAGATAAACACAAACAACACATCTTTAAACTGCACCAGATGGTGAATCATTGCTTAAGAGGACACTTTTAATAATATACTGTAAAGCAGACCTATTCAATTGGAGGCCCGGGGGCTACATCAGGCCATTAAACCGCCTCAATCTGGCCCAAAATCAGATATGAAACAGCATAAAGAGACGCTAAGCGTTGGAGGATTCTCTGGGTAGGCTCAGTGAAAAAACACTTCTTGATAGAGTTTCATAAAGCATTAAAAAAAGTATACTTTGCATTGAACTACCGCTGCAGTTTACACACACACACACACACACACACACACACACACACACACATATATATATATATATATATATATGAGAAAGGTATACAACAGAAATTAGTCAAAAACCTGAGCTATCCCAAAACAGATACAAGTAATATAGATGGCACTCACTGTTTCTCTGGCGCCATCTAGTGCCTCCTGCAGGCCGTACAGCCTCCCATTGACAAGGTACACTCCACTGGTCCATACTATACATCCTTCGTGGACCCACAGCTCCTCCGGGTCCATGGGCATCTGAGGGAGCTGTGCGAGCTGTGCCAGGGGTCCCAGAGAGTCCAGGGCTGGGGGAGGGGGCTGGAAGGGCAGGGAGGCTTTGCTGTTGGATGGCACCATTCTGGGGGAATCCTCGCTCGATTTGTGCCTCCTTTTGAAGCGAGGGTGTGAGGTCAGCTTTCTGTGTTGAGGTCGTTGTTGAGCTTCGTCTGGCGGCTGGTGAATCTGCTTTTGAGTCTGTTGTTGGTCGATTTCGAGATCTGGCTCTCTCTTTAGCTCAGGTATGGGTCTGATGTCCAGGTTCATGTCCCAGGAGAGGGATGGTGTTTTACTGGTGGTGGGGCAGGACCAAGCAGACATATGCATCATCATTTCCTCTCTACAGGCTACTGAGGCAGTTCTAAATGAAGAGGCAAAAGGTGCTGGGTTTGAATCTAATCCCATGGAATAGTAACTCTCATTGAAGGGCTTGTTGAACGGAGTGTCTTGTGTTTGTGTGTCTTGGAAAGAGCTCAAAGAGTTTGAGCTTATGTCTGAGTTTGGTCCCATTTTGTTTGTGCCGGTGGTTGCTAGACATTGTCTGACTTGGGGCTGATTCTTGGGAAGCTTTGCTGCGTATTCAGCTGGATAGAAGGGCCCATAGAGATCTCCGAGGTGTTTGTAATTTGCCCATTTCTGACAGAGGCAGCAAAGCAGACGACCAGAGTGATTGGTCTCTGTAATCACAGGGCCTGAAACAACATAGCCAGATGAAGGGAGTGCTTTCCCTGACTGAAGTGTTGTTTCCACCTCGTCTGTCTCCCTTTTCTCTGTCTCTCTGTCTCTGCGAGATAACTGGGAGGAAAGCGCTGAGGTCAGGAGAGAATCAATTCCACTCCCGCTCGCTTTCCCTCCGACTGCACTACGCTCCCCTTTCATCTTTTCTTCCTCAGCATTTACAATAGTACACACTGCCCCAATCTCTGGTACTTTTTTCTCCACATGTATGTGCGGAATAAACGGACCCTTCCTGTTTGGATCCACAAGTACTCTACTAGCACTGAGGTTCCCTCCTGCCCCTGAAAGATTTTCTGAGTCATCTTTAGCTATTGAAGTCGACGCTGTGGCTCCTCTCCTCCTCCTTCTTTGACGACCTCTTGCCTCTAGCGGGTCGTCTTCATCTTTCACACCTTTGCGTCTCCTCCTTGCAGGTTTCACTTCGACCTCTGGCTGTGTGTCCTCACTTTCAACATCTACTTTAACTACCTGGGTCAAAACAGGTGGTGCAAGCGGGGGAGTGTTTTGAAGGTCAATAAGAGGGGGGACAACAGGTACTGAGGTGCCTATGGTCTGCACTGACGGAGGAGGTGTTGTATCAGCTGGAGTTGGAGTCAGTGAGGCTGGAGGAGCACTCATGGTCATGTTCTGGCCCTGGGTTTGAGACTGACCTTGCGCCTGTGCTTGGGCTGGGTTCTGGGCCCGTTTTTGTTTGTTCACGCTCCCCACAGGCCTGCCCTTTTTCTTGCCAGATGGGAAATAGCCTTTAGGCACGAGGCTATCTGATTGTTTAGAATCTTGTGGCGACAGACTGGACCTACTAGAGGACATCTGATGCTGTCTATTCAGCATGTGTCCTTGAGCCTGGTTGTGGTGGGGCGGCGTTGTGCCATAGTAGTCGCTTCCAGGATAATCATCAAACCCTATACCAGATTCTTGGAGTTTCTGTCGGAGAAGATTAGCAGCAGACTGCTCTCCTCTACGCGTTTCAAGCTGTTGGTACGTGTTGGTGAAATGTTGAATGTCTGACAGGGCAGATGAAGATGGAGGTGGAGAACCTTGGACTGGTCGTGGAAGAGGAGGAGGAGGTGGTAAAGGTCCAAGCAGAGCAAAGTCCTCCTTGTCTCCTGATGCTGAAGCCACAGCTGCTCCTAATCCAAAGTCAAAGTCTTGTTGTTTTAGTGCTTGGGATGCCTGAGTAGGGTCACAGGGGAAGGCAGACAGAGTTAAAGGTCCGGCGTCGTCAACTCCTCTGAAGGGAATCATGTCGTTTAATGAGTGACTTTCATCCATATAACTATCATCCCCTCCTGCCACCCTCGGGAAATGTGCTAAGTCTTGGTCCTGTGAATCATTAAAGGGTGGAGAGAAACCTGGGTAATGATTTGACTCGTCATCAGTGTGGCCTGTTGGCTTCTTAATATTTGGAGTAATTTTCTGCACTATCGCCTCCAGTTTCAAACCTCGGCCTTTACGGGTTGGCAAAACCTTGGTGTTACCACCTGTTGGAGAGAGAGATTGTGAAAAGGTATTCTCTCCGAGCAGAGGAGAAGAAAGCCGAGGACAAGGGGTGTCTGAACTTGCTGAGTCATCTTCATTGTGATGGCTAGACTCAGTCTGAGCCACAGGGGAGTGATGAGAATTGGTGGCGGCCCTCTGCTGAGACGTATCCTGGAGATGCCTTTTGGCGGGAATTGGAGAGATAAAAGAACGGACCCTCCGTCGCAACATTAACGGATTTGTGTCTCCTGAACCCCCACCTTTAGTTTGACGCTGCAATTTTGGCTGAGTGGAGTTCATGTCGGCTAAAGGCTTAGCAGAGCTGGGACGAGGGGGTGGGCAAGGCTGTTTGGCTTCCTCTATGGCGCCCCTGGAGGCCTCAGGTTCAGCAGCATTTTGGCTGTGAGTCAGCTGTGGAGGAGCAGGACCATGAGAAGCTATCGCAGCAGGAGGAGGAGGGGGGGGAGGGGGCTGTGTTCTGTAGTAGGAGTCACCCTCCATCATTCTGCTGCCTTCTCTTACAGCGTGCGTTGACTCCCACATCTTTAAATCAAAATACGGGCTTTGATGATGGAGTGACGTTTTGGTTGCATGTTGATCACCGGGCATGTCAGTTTGAGAGATCATCCTCTGTCTGTGCTCTGATTGGCTGACTTTATGTCGCCCTGGTGATGAACCAGGCTGCATCATCATCTCCTTTGATGGTCTGTTCATCGCTTTTACCCAGTCACTCATTTCATGCGGGTGGTGAGGGGGACCACGGGGGTGAGGATATATTTGCAGCTTACTTGGGGATTGAGTCTGGGGGGATAAACTGTGATAAGGATGGTGGGGGGGGAAATGGGGGTTACTGCGGGACATCAAATTGCCTTCTCTTGTATCTCCATATCGATATCCAGGAAAAGTGCTTCCACTGCCAGCTGACAAATCGACCCCGTGAAGATAGGACGGATGTCTCGACGGTGAGGATAAAGGATTAGTGCTCATAGGATGAGAAGGCAAGTGTGTTATGTCAGCATTACCTCTCCTGTAGGGGTCAGCATTAATTACACCAGATGAGTGAGCAGACTTGGAATGATACTCCATATCAGCGTCATTACCTCCACCACTACTATGATGGTCAGTTTGTAAATTTGCAGATTCTGCGCTCGCCTCCTTTGATGCCGTTTCAATTTTCACCCCTGGTTTCTCCCCAATATCTTTTTTACTCAGATCATTGGCTGCTGCTGGAGAGGAAAATGGCTGTTGTATCACAGAGGCTCCACTCTGACTTTTCTCTCTCTCTCTGTCCCTCTCTGGTGTGCTGCGTCTGTTTGGCGACACATCACAGATAACTGAACGCCGCTCTGATGGGGCTAATGTGCAGCCTGATGATTTTTGGGACTCAGTTGGACCAATGCCTCCTGATAGTGGCTCTGGCTCTTGCAAAAGGAGTTCCTGAACAGCAGAAGATGGAGTGGACACACTGGATAAAGCTTTTCTCTGTGGTAGAGAATAGTCAGCTAAGTTTATGTGTTTTGTTGGAGTTGGCTGAGGTTCTGTAGCCTGTGGTAAATGACTCTGGGTCACACCCACTTCAGCTTTTTCAGCATTCAGCATGATCTTACTGTTGGACACATCTGACTTCACTGAAGACTGGGGATCTGTGTTAAAATCAGGCTCATTTCCATGCCTCTGGTTTGGATGTGGGTGCTTTCCAGAGCTTCCAATTTGGGCAGAATGAGCCGAAGCTTCACTAACTCCACTTTGCATCCTCATAGCATCAGTCATGTTATACGGGTGTCTGCTTTGAAATTGTTGTTGGCCTTGTAGATGTGCAGGAAATGCCTGTTCAGGTCTGCTGTAACGTCTGTCTAAATTGTAACCTTGAAGAACCTCTTGTAAAAGGCTTGGAAATTGCTGCATTTGGGAGTTCTCCTCATGACCCTTTGACCCTGCTCCTTGCCCTCTTTTAACCAAAGCCTCTGCTACAGAACCAGAATCTTTTTGTTGCACAGGACCATAACCAGATTGTGATTGTTGGTACCCTAAGTATCTGGAATTTGATTCCATTCCAGCCCTGCCTCTGTTCCTCGCTGACAAATCTGAGCCATATGTTGACTCTGGGTGGCCATATTTGTGGGGTCCAGACTGGGGAGGATTTTGAGTCCGTCCAAAATTTGATTTCTGGTGAAGGGAGGAATATAAAGTAAGATCCATACCTTCCTCTCCATTATGGCTGTTCGCCTCTCTTAAGTAAGAGTGTGGCTGTTTCTCTTCTATACAGTTGTCTTGGGGACGTTTGCTTTTTTCAGTGTGGCTTCCGTCAGACCGGGCTGAAACAATCACTCCGACACCACTGACACTCTGCTGTTCCTCAGATGTAAGCTTTTCTTCATTATTGTGTAATCTGGAGGCAGCGTGCAACCTATTTTCTTTGGCTTGACCATTTTGTGTTCTTACTTCTCCATCTTGTTGCATTTGACTGCTGCCTTTCTCTGTTTTCCCAGCTGCACCTTCGCTTTCACTTTTAATTACTTCGTTTTTAATTTCTTTTGTCTTAACATTGCCTCCTCTGTGTTCGCTATATGTTAAACCAGGCTCTGAAACACAGTTTGGCTGTGGAGGAGCAATACTGGAGGAGGTGGATGAAGGGGAGGAGGGAACTGGGGGTGCTGAATGTGACATTAATCCAGTCTCTGATGGAGATAATGAAGAGGGAACATGAGCTTCATTTCTTTTAGTTTCACAAACTTTTGATTCTTTTGACAATGAATCAGAGGTGACAGTTTTAACATTCTGTCCTATTTGTGTTTGAGTTGGAAAGCCAGTTGTTTCAGATCCACTGCTTGCACCACTCATCTGCCTTACTCTCCTATGTTCCCCCTCAGAAAACCCCTCCTCACGCTCCCTCTTAGTCCCTGATGAAGCTCCCACTGATATCAGCGAGGAGTCTTCATCGCCACCAGCGTCTAAGCCAGCACCATCACCAATCATCACAGCACATCCATCTTTAACTGTGCTTGTACTGGAGGCTGCACTCGCATTTCTACTCCTTGGTTGTGATGGGGGCAAGCCATGTAATGCCTGTTGCATCTGCCCCCCATCTTTCCCCTTCTTCTGTGAAAGCACGGTGTCAGTGAGGAGCATGTGCTGCACTGTGTTTGGTAAATTGGCTACTTGTGATGTCAAGGCATTAAGACTATTCAGGCTGGAGTCCTGCATTTTATCAAGCACAGAAGCTGAATATATGGAAGGGCCCTCCTCTCGAGACCCAAACCCTGGGCCTAGACCCATTTTGTTTCGACCTATTGGAGGAAGACTGCTCCCTCCAACTGCACTCATGCTGTGAGCTTTATGACTGCCACTGCTACCACAACTACTGATGCTGCTATTTGAATTGGGCGTGGGACTTAATTGAGGCATGGTCTGCAGTAATCTACCCTGACCATGGCTGCTACGAGGGTTTGATGTCAGTGGGTGTGAAGGACCATGACCCAAGGGGGTTTCCATGTGACTCTGAGACCCCCATAAGAGGGGAAGGAGAGGAGCTACAACTGGGGGAATGCACTGCAGAAGCAGCAGGAGAGGGGTTGGATATGGGGCTAAAGTTTTGGTTGATTTGGGTCTGTTGAGTATTGGGGTGCATCGGGGATTTGGCTATTTCTTGAGATGCTGCTTGAGGTATACTAGGATTGGAGGCTTGGTGATGTTTAGCATAAGCAGAGCCTGGAGACGGGCCCTGGTGCTGCATCTTGAGAGAGTTGTCATAACCTACCCCTAAATTGTGCTGTGAGTTACGGTGCTGGAGTGTAGCTTGCTTGTGGAGTGAGTGTGTCTGTGGGGGATATCCGGGATAATTTGCAGCATGGTAACCCTGTTGAACATTCTCCATTTGCCCCACATTGTTAGCAGCAACTGAACTGGAGACTGAGTTTGAACTGGAGTTGACACTGGGAGAGCTGTTGACTTTGGGATCGAACCCCCAGTGCCGGCAGCCCCATCCAGATATCTTTGTGGAGGGGGGCTGTACATTCCTGACGACCCAGTGGATGCACCACCCTGTGGGGAGTAGTGTGGGTACTGGGGGGTCATTCTGTGCCCGGAGTGTGGATAGCTTCTCTGCTGTTGCCCGTGGTGGACAGCGGGGAAGGTTTGGCTGTGCTGGCGGTGCTGCATCTGAGAACCCGGCACCGACTGCATTGCAGGGTTCTGACTCATAGTGTACTGATGAGACGGAGAGAACGCTCCAGCACCAGCCCCTCCACCTGAACCGGCACTGGAGCTGAAGTCCGCTGGATATGACATCATGCCAGATGTTGGTGCAGAGCCAGATCCAGCATGTCGGTATTGATGAGGTATATGTCCATCCAGATTAGGGTACCCAAAGCCTGCGCCATAGCCCATGCCCCCTCTTCTGTGTCTGTCCTTTCCCCCCATTGAAAAATAATAATCCATGACGTCCTTCCTGTAGGGGTTGTTAGTGTTGCCGCTGTGAATGCCCCCCTGTGACGGTGCTGCCTCCACAGCTCCTCTGTTTCGAGCGCTGTAAGCGAGCATGTGGCTGGCTTGACCGGGGAGGTGATGGCCTCTGTGCAGGCTCTGCTGTTGCATCCCTGCATAATCATCTGTCATCCTTGGAGAGATCTGAGGCTCTGCTGGCTGAGGGGGATACAGAGGTCCCCCTCCACCCCTCCCACTAAACCCCGGGAGCAGAGAGGGTGGAGCCGGGCTGTTTGAAAAATTCTGCATTGTTTTTTCCAAGTTTGGATCAAAAATGGAAATATCTGTCAGTGTCTATTGTAGGGAATGCTTCTGATCAAAAACCTGGCTTATAGCAGTAACCATAAATGACAAAGAGAGAGTCTATGAGAGCCTGGCAGTGAAGCAGGGAAATGCTTTCAAAATCCAAGACAGATTCAAGCTGGGGAATATGTATCACAGAGGATGTGATCACTTTGTTAGGAGAGGAAAGTAGGGAAGAGAGGTTTAGCTGATGGTGATTTTAGCAGTATATGAAAAGGCCAAATGGTAAAAAATCTTTCATGTGATGATGTGTTTTCTTTTTAAAGTTTCACCTAAAAAAAATGTGATTCTTAAAAAGAAAAAAGATGTATTGGCGCAGGTTTCTTCTGCAGAAAAATACAATATTAAAAGTGTGATGTCCTTTCAATGAAGCTGAAACAGTTTTGGCACTGAGCAGGCTAAGATATCACAGACGACTGAAGCATCACCGTGTGAAATGTTCAACTTGAGAAGTCTTTACAGGTATACAGTCATCTCTGCTTCAACAACAGCTCGAGCAAGCTTCTTCTGTATGTTAGGATTTAATTATGTTGCAATCCACTAGCATCGTGTGCAAAAAAAAAAAAAAAAGAAATCTCAATAAAACCATTGAGACTGGGTTTGGTCACAACAATCCTTCAGTTCCTCCGTATGTTTGCCAGGACTGGACTCACACCTGGGTGAGACAAAAACTGAATACAGGTCAGAATACCGACCCTCACTAAACACTCCCAGAGGAAAACACTCCATTGATATTCTCATCAGCTCTTGGATGCAGAGTGTAATATTTTTCAAGATGTCCTTTTTCTTGGTCATTCCCTTTCAAATACTGCTTTCTTTCTACTTTTCTGCTACATGCATTCATCAGGACTGTAAAAGTCTTTGGTCCCTGTTTAGTAAATGTGTTGGGATTCTTCTCGGTGCCTTCCTGTATCTTCAGCGTGCTGCTGTCCTTACCTTCGTGTTTTTCCCTCTACCATCATTTAATTCTACCTAGTTCCATGGCAACAATTTTCCAAAAGGAGGGTAATCCTTTTAGTCCACTTCAAGTTCAGTCAATTAAAGCTCCTGTTTTCAGTTTTTTCTTCAGTATTTCCAGGCAGATAAGCACTTTTTCCAGGAGACGCTGTCCAGACGCCTTCGCGGGTCTGCAAATACAAAAGACGGATCAAAATGTTAGCATGAAACTGCAAGTGTATCAGCACTGTTAGAATATAATAATTATAATTATCATGGACAGCATCATGAATGTGGAAGACTCAAAGACTATTTTGATGTATTTTCTATCTACAGTAATCTGAGTAAATTTAAACAGTTAAGTGGTAGACGAAAAGATACTTACAACCACAACTAAACTTACAAAATGACATTGTAAAGCTTTGATAAGACTTTGTTTAGATCGATCCAGCATTAAGGTTTCGATGGTTTGATACTTTCTCGATGCCATGAATTTTAAAATCTGATATTTTATGACCTATACTACCACACCAAACTTCTGCACAATGTTTTATTGCACAATAACAGAAATGTTGGCAATGTTTTTTTGCAATTTGATCCCCGTTCAGACTGCCGTTTCAAGGCGCAATATTTACGCCCCACTGACGTTTCAACGCAATCAATCTAAAAGCCACGGAGGCGTTATTTGGGGGACGAAGTGATTCGGCCTCTTTACCATCTTAGGAGGCAGTAACAGTAAGAAATTACCCAATATTGTTGACTTCTTCGTTTGTTTTTGACAAGAATCATATCAAAGTTCATAATACTTTAAATATTGAGACAGTGACAACCCTATCCAGGATCAAACAGATTACATCAACATTTCCCATCAGTTGAATTATTTTTGGTGGTCCACCTCAATAATCCAACAAACAGATTCACCAAACCAACAACGTCTACATTTCTTACGCTGCTACTTTAAAAAAAAAAAAGAAGTCTGGCCTCTTATTAAAGCTTCTACTTTAATATGCACCAAGGGTAGGACATTTACTGTGGCTGGAGCGTTAACACCACACGACTGAGCCGTCTCCCCCGACTGATAACAAACAGAGCTGGTGGAGAGGAAAGTGGGTTAGCGGCAGCAGCAGCAGTTTAGGAAACAAAAGCAACACGGACACAAGGTCACAAACACTTCTCCACATGTAAACAAACAACCTCATCGAGCAAAGACAGCAGCAGAGCCTCTCCCACTGCTTTACACTGACACCCAAGCCCATTAACTTTACTGGTTTTTACTTCTTTTAATGGGCTTTAATTATTATAGGTGATAATTAAAAGGGATGGCGCCACCTTTATGGGGTCAGCAGTAGCTATAATTGCCCTCTGTGACACGAGCCTCTATTGTCTGCCTGGAGCACACAGTAAAATGGTTAATGGCCCTAACACACGTCGAGTGACTTTTGTTGTGTAAGTGCAGACCTTAAGCCACCCAAAACAACAGTTTTATGATTATTTACCTGTCAGTCTCAGTGTGGATATATCCACACAGTGTTGTTTTCACTGCAGAGAAAGTGATGAGATGAAGAAAGAGGGAGTGTGGAACCACTAACAGGTCAGACCTTGTAACCTGGGTTTTGTTAGGTTGTCAAAATATTCAATTATTTTCAGTAGCAGGTGATTTAAAGGGGACAAATTATGAAAAATCCACTTGTACAGTGTTTGTGAACATATATCTGTGTAACCTGAGAGTCTACTGACCCACAACATGTGAAATAAACCCATCCAGTCCTTTGTTTGTGGTCTGCATAAGTCTTACAACACAGAGAAAAATGCTCTGTCTCAAATGTGCTCTCCTTGTGATGTCACAGTGGGATTCTGGTAAAAACAAATCCCCTCCCATCCCCTGGTATCTCCACCCATGGACTCCACCCCCAGACTAGAACAAAACTTTTGAGCAGGTCTCCATACACGCTAGGCTACCGGCGCACCAAATTCTGTTATTCTAATGAGCGATAGAAAAGAAAAGGGACTTCTTCAGATCTTAGGTCAAAGGTCATTTTTTCAACCAATAGCTGCAACCGGAGGGAGAGAATGAACATTTTGTGGCCAAACTATTTGTGCACTTTAGACAGTTTGCAGGAGCTTCAGGGAACCCCTAAGATAGTCAAAGTTAAAATGAAGACTTACAAAGACCGTTTTTAGTCCCTTTCTGCTCTCCATATTGGTGTGAAGTTTAAGGCCATCGTCATGGCAACACTCATGACTTTTCTAAATACATTTAAGACTTCAGAGGCTTTAAATTGAGAATATCAAATTTCAGACTTCCTTAAACGACTGTAAGACCTCAAGCTCCCCCATACGTTTCTGTTAACTTAATAAACAAATGTAGGCATGTGTCCATTAACGGTTCTCTCCAGCGCTTACTGTTGCTAGGTTACAAAGGATTAACTTCCACTTCCTTAGTGACACTCAGTTTTACTCAAGGAAACATCACCAAGAAAATGTCACTGAATGGTGTCCTGGCATCAGCAGCAGCTCTGGAATTGTCAGATTAGTTTCTCCTCCGCTATTGTTGTAGTCAAAGCTGCTAACAAATGTCCCGCCCCTTTCTTGATTCTGATTGGTCGGTAAGGTGACATTGACAAGTGCGGTGGTGGTCCCAAAAGTCGAGCTATTTACAACGGAGGGCCCAGCGATTTTTTTTTTTTTTTAAAAAGCTGACGCAGGCCGGGCACTGGATGGCCTAGCGGTTATGTTGCCCGCCCCATGTGCAGACGCTACAGTCATCATCGCAGCGGCCGTGGGTTCCAATCCGACGTGGCACTTTACTGGAGGTCATCCCCCACTCCCCCCCCCAAATGTCTCCGTCTCTCTTCAGCTGTCCTTCAAAATAAAAAGTCTTAAAAAACAAAAACAATATTGATTGTTGCCTGTTTGGTTACCACGGCAACAAAACGTCTTCTGAGGCGTTACAGGGCTGGGACTGGGATCAGTGGAGCCAGCGGGGGAGTGCAGTGCTCTGTGTGTGTGGTGTGTGTGTGTGTGTGTGTGTGGAGCTTCCGCACTGCTGTGAGGAAACAGCCCCTTTCAGTCGTAGTAGTCGGAGTAGCTAAGCTCGGCCGCCATTACGTCTTTGTGCATTCATACCGATTCAAAGATGGCGTGATGTTCTTATCGATTCACACGCAGAAGCACAGCAAGAGCTCCACCCACAAACGCACACACAGCGCCGCGCTCCCCTGCTGGCTCAGCTGATCCCGTCTCGTCCCTGTAACGCCTCCATTACTTCGTTTGGGGGGGGGATCACTTCGTCCCCCTATGACGCCTCAACAACATTCATATGAAAGGCGAAACGTCACATATCCCGCCTTGAAACAGCGGTCTGCATAGGGTTCAGGACTCGTGATTTCAGACATATTGCCCCGCTGCTGGATTCATATGAACGCCTTAAGGTGGCGTTATGACAGCGGCGCTTCGTGAAGGGCTAGTGTCAGATTTTACCAACAATATCTGATGGATGATTTCCTCTCCTGAGCCCTGGCCTAGTGTTTATTTAAAAACCAGAGAATAGATCATGAATGTGATAATGAACAGTATGTGACACCCTGTGTGTCTCCATCTTCTCTTTTTGTTGCTGTGGTAACAAAACAGGACATCAACATTGTTCCTTCATGACCACAACCGTATCTGAGTTTAACAATCTGGTACCGTGACAACCTCAGGTGTCACATTTAAGGGTCAGCCAGCTCAGGTTGGACCAGCACTCAGTATGATCCACCATGCAGAGCAGTGTTAATAACCTCTCCAGTGTGTGCACAGCTGCCTAACTGATCACAGCATACGCAGTGTTGTTGCAGATAATTATAACCGTCTGCTCTCTTATTATTCATCACTGTAGAAGCTTTAGAAGCTACATTAGCCAGCAGCTAGGTGACGTTATACGCAATACATGTAGCTTTACAGTGCAGCCTTTATGTTAGCGTTAGCTTGAATACCTCAACATCTGAGAGCAGAGCCGCATATGTGGGAGCTAGGTGCTAAGCTATATTACTTAGCATCTTAGCATGGCAAGCTAATTTGCGTTTATGACATTATAAGGAGCGTTTGTGGACGTGTTTGGCTCAAGGTCCGAGGCAGCCGAGCAGCTACAGCGGAGAGGTGATTAGGTGCAGATGTTTCCCCCCCTCACATATTCAGTAAATGTTGCAGAAAACACGCAGAGAGAGAGAGAGAGAGAGAGAGAGAGAGAGAGAGAGAGCTGCATCAGAACATGAAGCGCAGGCTGGACACACAGCTAAGGTTTACAGGGAGAGGCATGACAGGCGAGCTAACGAGACCCTCACCTGAAAACGAAGCAACACAAGGCCCCTCGAAGGACTGAAAGGAGCAGGAAACCCCAGCCTCGAGTCGACTCCTCCGCCGCTCTCCCTTCACCCTCTTCGGTCCGGACAGCCCCGGCCAGCGGCGGCGAAGTCGGGGGGGGGCCCGTCACGACGCTCAGATCCCGGGCCTTTCTTCCCTCCGATCCCCCCTTTTTTTTTCTTTTGTCCTCACCTCCAAAAAATGATGATGAGAAGCGGAGCACAATCGGGGTGCCTGTAGGTCCCGTAGCAGTGAGGTCCATACACCCCCGCCCCCTCCTCCC